TTGCATTTCAACCCCTGAATGTGGAAATAAGGACGAATGCGCGCTCCTCCTTCACCTAGCCAACAACCGGACCTTCCGATTGCCAAAACCTGAATGACTTCCATCGAAGGTTAAGTGGCATCCTCTGACCCTTCTGTCACGTACTTCCTGTCCAAGGTCACTGCACAATGAAATTCTATAGAAATTTAAATTCTAAAGGATAAAGCGCGCGAAATACGATTAGCAAAATTGCCTCCCTTCCCTGCTTCTTTTCACAATGAATCAAAGCTGGACAAAAATTGCAAATAAAGGAAAATGAATAACATTCTTTAAAATAAAAAAATTTCCCGAAGCATCTGTTTTCCCCAAAATTAAAGCATTAAAATAAATAATTCGGAATCAAATAAAATTAAGATTTCCATAAATCAGAAAATCATTCACCTAGTTTTTATAACGCGATCAGACAAATTCTCTACACAACAATAGAATGACAATTACCTCTATGAGTAAAAGTGAATCCCTTTATGAACAGTATATGTGATTAGATATTCGTGATATGTCATATTACTAATTGACTATTTATCAGGCTAGATACTTCTACTTTTGCATTTTATTTCCATTGCAAGGGCCATGGTATCATGCGGAGAGCAGTGTACCCCTGGGTACCTGGGCCAAAGGCCCTACTCTTAGTCAAACAAAAATGAAATTTTCCTAATTGATACACTAGGAATAACTGCAATTTATTGGGTGTACAAATAAGTTTTGAGGGATTTTCATAAAATGGCATTACTAGTATTAAATCCTATCGGACAATCGTGTAACTATATTCCTGTTAAAGCGCCAGCATTTCCGTCTAAAAATCAGTCTGTTTCTGAAATATAAACAACAAACTTTCTTTGTGCTCAACCCAGGTCAACCTTTATACTATCAAAACAAAATTTGTGGGAAAGACTTCTTTTTTTTTTGTTTCAATTTGAAGAAACGTGCAGCTGATAAACATTGCTGTTTGAAGCATATGGGGAACATGCACTATTAATAAAAACATGTGACCAGTAAAGTTTAAAGATGCTGAGTTGGAGGGGATATTAGACCAAGATTCATACCAAACTCAAGAGGTGTTCGGCAAAACCTTGGGAGTGAGTGACTCAACAAGTGTCTCAATGGAGACATCGAACGGTGTTTTTTCACGTGCGAACAGCTGCTCCAAAGGCAAAATCAGAAGGGGTTTTTGCATCAAATCGTGACGGGGGACAAAAATGGATCTGCTATGACAATCCAAAGCGCAGGAAATCATGGGGTAAGCCCTGACATGTATTAAAAAAACTTCAACAGCCAAACCGGATATTTATGGCAAGAAGCTAATGCTGTGCATCTGGTGAGATCTGCTTGTAGTGATCTATTATGAGCTACTCAAACCTTATAAAACATCACTGAGGAACATTACAAAAAGCAGTTGATGCAACTGAGCCGAGCATTAAAGCTCAAATATCCCCAATATGCCAAAAGACATGACAAAGTGATCTTTCAGCATGACAACGCTCGCCCACATGCTGCAAAAGTCGTCAAAGAAATTTTGGAGGCGCTTCAATGGGGTGTCCTACCCCACCTCCTGTATTCATCAGACATTGTTTCTTCTAACTTCTGCTTGTTCCAGTCGATGACTCATAACTTGGCCAAGCAGCACTTCACTTCATACGAAGAAGCCAAAAATTGGGTTGGTTCTTAGACCACCTCAAAAGACGAGGATTTTTTGAAACACGGAATCCATATGCTGCTGAAAGATGGAGAAAAGTTGTAGCTAACAATGGACAATACTTTGAAAAAAATACATTCTTCCAATTTCTCTGAATAAAGCTTCAAAATTACAAAAAAAAATGTCTTCAAAACCTATTTGTACACCCAAGAAAAATTTAATTTTGCCTAATACTGGTAAAAAATTAATTTTGATTAACCACTTCCCAGTTTTGCCCAAACGGCGTTCGAGTACTTGGAAATGGCATTTTTTTTTTTTTTTATTTATTTTCCCGAGCGTTAGGTTTGCCAGAATTTTTTGCTTGCTTAGTGTGTAATGTTTCTAGAAGATAGTGCTAGTAATCCAGTAAAGTTAGAATTGTAAAACAACTAGTTTCAAGGTTAGGTTTTACTGAATTCTTTTACGCAAGTAAAGGTACATGAATACAGAGTTTATGCAATTATTTGTCTTGCTATTTTTGCTTGGTGTAGCGGCGATTTTTGTCAAAAATCGCCGCTTCGCAAGCCCAAATAGAGAGTCAAGAATTGCACAAAACGTATCTGTACCGCCAAAAATCGCCAAGGGGTACCCTAAACTATACTTTTACCCACGTTTTAATTATCACTTAAATTAATATTTTTTTGGTCACTGATATGACTTAAAGGGGTTGATCTTTACATTATGGTAACTTGGCGATTTTTTGGCGAAAATTTGGCAACCAACTCTCCTACAGCAACCCTCTATTTTTTTCCCCCGCCGCCATTTTGTCTTCACGAAGTAAAAACATGTTTCTTTTCTTTTTATCTACTGAACACTTCTTCCAACAATCTACTAACCGAATTACACTTATGCTAGAAATTTTATCAAACAAAAACTGCTTAATCATGACAAATATTCACTGCAAAAATTGGGAAAAAGTGCACAATACCATACTCCTGACGCGTTTTTCAAAATAACACATACACATAAACCATGTACACGCCGACTTATTTTTACTTAAAAAAACATCCAGAATTGCACAAAAAATGGCATTGCGCACACTCTTCACTATATCCATGTACACCGCTTTTTTCTCATAAATTAGAAAAATTTCACGAAAATACATGACAATTTTCTCAATCTTTAAACCCGGTAAAAAGAACATATTATGAAATTACCTGATCGCGAAAAAGTATTTACGCTTTACAAATATGAACATTTCCACATATAAAATAAATAAAATACCCAAAAACTTTTACCTCTAAATCATCTATTACATTATACACGTCACCAACGAATTCATACCGCAAGCATTACAAATACTTAGTATCAAATATTTAAATTATTTCCATGCACGTTTATTTCAACTTAAACGTATACAAAATTCCTACAAACATAAAATTCACAAATAACTATCATTCAATTAAAATATCACTAAACCATGTACACGTCGACTTATTTTTACTTAAAAAACATCCCAGAATTGCACAAAAATGGCATTGCGCACACTCTTCACTATATCCATGTACACTGCTTTTTTCTCTAAATTAGAAAAATTTCACGAAAATACATGACAATTTTCTCAATCTTTAAACCCGGTTAAAAAGAACATATATGAAATTACCTGATCGCGAAAAAGTATTTACCCTTCCAAATATGAACATTTCCACATATAAAATAAATAAAATATCCAAAAACTTTTACCTCTAAATCATCTATTATATTATAAACGTCACCAACGAATTCATACCGACCATTACAAATACTTAGTGTCATATTTAAATTATTTCCATGCACGTTTACTTCAACTAAAACGTACACCAAATTCCTACAAACATAAAATTCACAAAATAACTATCATTTCATTAAAATATAATTAAATTCAAAAAACACTACGTAAAATATAAATGAGCCATACATTAAAATTAATAAAAATTACCTTACAATCCTAATTACTTTAAACTAAATCATTGCTAATAACAATTTTCCCACTAATACCAAATTCCTTTCCACCTTACATTTAGAACAATGCATAAAAATAATATCCTCAAAATAATTAAAAATACTAACTTACCTAATGTTCTTTAGAATCTTGATTACGTGGCGGATAACTTTTCTTCATTCATTCAGAATTTTGAAAAATACTTATTTCTGCAAGAATTTAATAACCTCATACTTCCACCGCAAATAAAAAGCAAACTTCTCTTTTCACAATTACCTAAATACCCATTTCGAATTCACTTTAGTTAGGCCATGGGATCCAAAATTAAAAAAAACACTGTTTCACACAACACAAATAAAGCCAAATACAAAATTTCCCATTTTTTTCCCGATTTCCCCCTTTTCCGATTTAAAGAACCGTAATTCGTCCATAATATCACATGACAATCCCCATGATCTCTCATTTCCCTCACACAAAATAATGCGTAATCGGAACTGAGTACTGCTCACATTATTACCAAAGTCCCAGGTAGTAACCTTTATCGCCTCCAAAATTTCGCCAAACTACCAGTTACCATATTGTAAAGATCAACCCTTAAAGGAATGTTGCATTATGAAATATCTTCTTTTGATTTCTTTTGTTAAATAATCAGGTGAATATGTGCAAAATTAGAACCAATAAATGAGTAATTCCTAGTGAAATATTTTATTACGGGAAGCACTTATTTTTCCTCATACATTTCAAAGAAATTGTTTTTAGTATGTTCGTGCTCAAAACTCTTTAATATTTGAAGATATCATGTTTCATTGTGACATAGATGTAATTTAAATGTACAACATATTTTTACTTCATAATAACAGCTCCTGACTGTTATTCACTCACATGCTATATACCCACACTTATACAGTGCTTTTAAATGAAACATGTGCAGTACAATGAGATAAAATCTGATCAGAGATGACTCGGAGACCACGTGACTTATGTAAAGCTAATGTAAACATACAAGGTTATTCTTCCGCTGTTGCCTCTTCTCGCGAAGATTCTATACGGTTTTACGACATCGATTTCGACAAAGTTCAGACTAGGGCCCCTTCTTTACAGACGAAATTTGTGGAAGGTCAAGCAAACTGAAAGCTCAAATAAAGAGAATTACTGGAAATTCCTTTTTTGTTTTCAAATATCAATTTTGGCAGATCAAAATTTGAATAATTTTCATTTGACTGCAAGAGATATGCCACATTGGAAGTAAAAGTGGCTTGATCGATAACATATATCACTGTCAGAGAAAATTAGAATGTTATATAATGTCGTTAAATCTGGCATTCATTATGATGAAAGTGACGCTTGCGCAGATGGAGTAGAGCAGATGGGAAAAAAATATTCACTAAGCAGGGAGGAATTTTGGATGGCTTGATTTTGTTTTTATTTTGTTAAGGGAAGAGGAGGCATATTGCTACTGTTAATCTGTTTCTAGCAAATTTTCGGATGATGGCATTTTTCATCTGCATATTGTTTTGACAAAGTTGGAACATTTTAAATAGCTTTAGCATAGAATGAAGACGAATATTGTTTTTAAACTGTGTTAAGACATAATTAAATAAACCGTTGTCAGCGTATTCCGATTCTATGTTTTGAAAACGTAAGGCATAATTTTTATTTTTACGTCGTGTTCTGTTTATCGAAAATATATTTTTATTGCTTTAATAAGATATTTTCTGATGCATTCGGGCTTTTGAGTGCTAATTTTTTAATTATAATTACTTGGATAACTTAGTTTTTAAGTTGATTTGGAATGTTTTAGTGAAACGAAGCCTCCACAGCTGTATCGCATTTGAAGTGATGAAAAAATAGGAAATCTATGTATTTCATTGTACCTTTTCTGTAGATTGCTGGGAGTTTATTTTTATTAGCGTTTATCTTTCCTATACACGAATATCGTTGTCAATGACGATGAGTGTGTTGTGCGTTCTAAAGTTTCATTGAATCAGGTGTATAAAATATCTGATGCTGCAATTATAAATTAATTAAATTTTATTTACAAAACTATTGTGTTAGCTGAGATTTTAAGTGTCATCTGAAGTAATTATAAAAACTGCAAATTTTCGTTCTTTCATCGTATATATCATGTATTAAAATGCTTTCTGAAACATTCATCAGTTTGATAGCAGAGCCTGATTGGTGACTAACAGTTTGATGCATTTGAAGAATGAAGGAGATTTTGTCCAATAATTTAGAATTCATTGTAAAAAATGATATTCTTGAGGTTATATTTATATTTTTAATTGTAATCAAATTACTTATTAAATGAATATTTTATTTGATTAAGTCTGGATGAAAAAACTCGCAAAATTATTGGTTTGTCTCATTTTCAGAATATCATAAAATGTTGGGAATATAGAATGATAATATCTGAATCATTGTTTTATTATGAAATTCGTGTGTTAGTTTGAATTGTTTTAGCAGGTTATCATAAAGGTTAAGAATTATTTGTACAAAAAGAAATTTTGTTACTTCTAAAATTATTATGAGAGTGTAGATAGGTTTATCATAGTTATAGGTATTGAAAGGATATTTACCAAATAATGCTGAATGTGTAGTAAGCATCATGTATGAGTAGGGTAGTTTATTTGATTGGTTATAATAGGTAACATTTTGCAGTTGATAAAAATTTAGTTAGATATTTGACTGTTGAATATTTCAGCAAAGGAATTGTAAATTATGACTGTTAGAGAAGTTATGGAATAAAGTTTGATTATATCTTGGTTTAAAGATATTTGAGAACTTTCTTACTTAAGAAGACATGTATTTTTTTTATTTCTGTACATATTACTAGAGATTTTGACATTTTATCTGCTGCTGCTGTTGTCTTTTTTTTTTTTTATCTGCTATTATCATCTTAGAAATTTGTATATGCTAAAAAATTTTATACTGAATTCAGCTTTTGAGTTAATGCTTTGAGTACAGAATGAAGTACATACTATGGATTAATGGCCAGAAGACTGTGTTTATATACTAACAATTCTGAACTTAAAAATTCTGTGAAAGTTTTTTTGAGTAGAATAAGATTGAAGGTTAAATTCATTCTCATGTGTATTTTTTTAATTTTCTTCTGCATAAGATGCGAAAAAAAAAAAAAAAAAAAGAATTTATCAGTATTTACTTGCTAGTAGTTTCTTGCTATGACCTTTAATTTGAAATTATAAGAAATGATTACTTACAATCATTATAATTAAGTTTTTTGTTTTAACATAAACATGAAATTTTTCACAAATCATGACATAAAAAGCTACAAATTTTGAAATTAAATATCCCAGTCAATTTTTTGTTGCATGGGAGTTTTTCTATACATTTATTTTGCCATAGGATATATGATGAATATAAAACTTTCCTAAATGTAAGTATAAGAACTGGGAGATCACATGAATATTTTCGTCATTTAAAATGCTTTGTAATAGAAAGTATATGATCACTACAAACGACTAAGAAAGTAAAGGCTGAGTAAGGACTTTTAAGCCAGGTAGGGGCTGGGTGTATATATATATATATATGTTTTGTATTGCCGATTAAAATAATAAAGGGAGGTGCCCAACTGGATGTTACAGCAGTCTTCCATATAGAATGGTCTATGGTTAATTTTTTTTTAGTTGTGTGATACATATGCATGTACAGACATCACAAAAAAAAAAAAAAAATCCATTTTACAACTTGTGTTGCAAAAAAGAGGCTTTTATTCTGGCTGTACATACAAACATGCCTCCCCTCCCCCCAAAAATGTCATCTGAATGTGTTAGAGATCAGTCAAGATGGATCTTTCTGTTGAAATACGATACCAAAAAATTTTCATGATTACACTACTCCCTTTACTTCATACAAGGAAGTAAAAATTTCAGTTGTATTAAATTGTTATTTTTTGAAAAGATGGTGTAATTTGAATACAAATAAAGCAACATAATGTTAAAGATGGCTGAATTTTGAAAAATAGAAGTTCGTAATATCTTTTGTGGGAGAAAGAAGAAAAAAGTGCTATCAAATTATTTATTTAATTTCATTTGATTCTGTTGTTTAGCGAATAAGTTGAGCAAATCAGCATTGCTTGAAAGAATACGATTAGGTTAATAAATCTCGTAAGAAGTATAACAAATGTTTAACACTGCAGAATGTAATCTTTATTCCTTGCATCTTTATTATTGCATTATCTTCAGACATTTCACATGTGCTAAAAGTCATCATATCAAGTTGATGCTTTATATATTGTCCAAGTCTTTTATTTTAGAATGAGCACTCTAAGGCCATTCACTCCCCTCTGCTTACCTTGTAACTGTAATAATGGCCACTGTGAATGATAGTTTGGTCTTCTAATTTATGAAATAAAGGAGGAAAATGTGTTTATGTACAAAATCAACACAAAGTGCTTCTTTGCAGCAATACAGTATTCACAATAAATATTCAAAAAAGGGAACAGTAATAGGAACTGCAGCTGTGATTGGCTGGCAGTGCAGCGGTAGTGAGCAGGACAAACCACTATCCCCTGCATCAGAGGATTATTCGCAACTCTGATGTCGAGCGTGATAGGGAGTTTACGTACAGGGAAAAAGCTGATACGCATCTCATGTATGGTGCTGCTAATGGGAACGGCAGAGCAGTGCTATGATTGTACCAGGAATGGTTCCTGAACAGGCATATGCCGAAGTACATAATGTTAGAGAAGTTGAATCGGTCTCTGTGTGAAAACGGGTCATTTGAAGCCACTTCTGACACTAGGAGTGGAAGAAGTGCACGACAACCTCGCATTGAAGAAGCCATCTTGAACATTGTGCATGAATCATCTCAGAGAAGTACAAGAGCTATTGCACGTTGTCTGCAGCTGAGTCATTCCACCGTTTGGAGAGTATTGCATGAAAATGGTTTGCACCCATACCATTTGCAGAGAGTCTTAAGCCTTGCAAGAGACAGATTATGCTCTTCGAGTTCATTTCTGTCATTGGTTCTTGCAGCAGTGTGCGGCGCAGGCGGATTTCCCATCGGATGCGCTATTCACAGACGAGGCAACTTTCTCACAGGATGGCATCTTCAATAGCTACATGATGCACATGTGGGCAACTCATAATCCACACGGCACACGTCCACATGCATTCCAAACTCGCTTCTCCGTGAATGTGTGGGTGGGTATTGTTAACGACTACCTCATAAGCCCATACCTCTTACCTGCATGTACAAATATTATCATATTTTTCTGCAAGAGGTGCTGCAGAATGTTCCGGGTGTCGTTTGTGATCGCATGTGGTTCCAGCATGATGGTGCACCAGCCCATAACCATGTGCGGGTCCGCAATTGCTTGGATGGGACATTTCCGGGCCGTGGTGGGTCTGTTCGATGGCCACCCCATTCGCCAGATTTATCTAGCTTGAATTTTCTTTTATGGGGCATCTGAAGAGCACTATTTACGAGACTCCCATTGACTCACTTGAGGACCTCGTTGCACGACTATCCATTGCGGCTGCAAGCGTGCGTGAAATGCCTGTCATTTTTCAAAATGTTCGTTATTCCCTTCTGCGATGTTACCAAGCATGTATTACTGCTGGTGGTCGCAATTTTGAACATTTATTGTGAATACTGTCTTGCTACGATGAAGCACTTCGCGTTGATTTTGTACATAAACACATTTTACTCTTGTGTCGTTTTTTTTTTCGTTCCTGCCTTAACCCGTCACTTTAGATCCTACATTCCTATAAAAAATGAATCTTTTAGTGTGCTCCACCACCCCTCCAAGTTTGTTCCATGATCTATGAAACACCCTGTGTTTTAAAATTATTAATAAATTTAGTGTTTTAATGGCCTACAATATGTTTTTAGTTTAGTATTCATTATTCATTGATCAAAAGTACATTCATTTTAAGAACTCTGATTATCAAGCTAACATTTGTATAAGTTAACTGTCATCATATTTTATTAATTCTTTTATGTTCTTTCGCATGATTTTTTTAATAATTAAAATATATTAAAAGCATGAAATAAAAATATATGATGGAGAAGGAGGAAAACATTTATATGGATGAATGTGGAAAAGTAACGATGTTATTTTGTAATGATTGCATTAAATGCATCATCTGCACTCTAGATATCTATTGAATACATAAATTTCTCAGTTCTTGCAAGGCTTTTCTCTAATCACATTGTATACTGTTTTGTGACTTGGAAGAAATTAACAAATTACAAAGAAGCAGTTTGCGAGCAAGTGCATCTGCATTTATACAATATATTTCAAAATGCTTTTATTTTTCAGTTCTGTTCTTTAAAAATATTATGCTATTAGTATGAACCTTTAATGTATTAAAAATGTGCTTTATTTTTTTGTGACAATATCTACAAAACTTATTACCATCAAAATGTATTGCACTTTACAAAGACGGTAATAATTATGTAAGTGATATTAATTTTCAGTGCCTCTTGTAATAAGTATTTCAGAATAATTCTTGTATTCATAATACAAATACATATGTTTTTATATGGAGGTCATCAAATATTTGTTCTATCATATTTATATAAAATAATTTCTAAAGTAAATCTGATGAAATGTAATGCAATATTTTTGTCTCTTTGCATAGTATGAATAACCAGAAAGCTGAAAACAAATCTGCTGACCATGAAGATAGTGATCATATCCAACCAATTAATTTGGTTGCTACTAGAACCCCAGTGCCAGTTACTACTTTTTCTGGGTCAAATACGCCTGTTGCTACACAGCCACTTCCAATGCGACCGCATATAGAACCTAAGCCAGGACTTATGGTATATTTTCTCATATAGTTTTTGTAAAAATATTATTGTTAAAGTTAAATATTAGGGGTGCTTTAAGTAATATATTTAATAAGATGTAAATTTAGTGTATTGTTATAAGAAATGGCATTTGCTTAGTCACCATTGTTTTCTTTGATATCCCCTGTCTTATTACCAGGGTTATGTCCCAGCTTTAAATCAAAATATACATCTAAAACATTTTATGACCTTTTTATAGAAATTGAAATTTTGGTACTTTCTGTATGTGCATTCAACACCAAATTGTGACTTTCAAGAGGACTCATGAGCTTGTGGTGACTAAGTTTTCACTAAGCTAATGTGTGAAAGACAGCAGCCACTTTCAGAATGGTGTTGGCACTGAGAATCCCATAAGCAGTCAATCAGTGCATTTTAAAAAGGAAGAAACATCAATAATAAAACACTTACCTTTTTCGAGAAATCCTTCTCTTTCTTTTCTTTCACTGTTATTCTCTGCAGTGAACAGCAATCTGTTTTTCCTTAAAAGAGCATCAGAGAATTGCACCAACTCAGATCCATACAATTTCTGTATTGAGCATTGGTTAAAATAGATGTGCTATGTGCATATCTGGGTTGTCACATAAGTGCTTTTTGGTGACATCATGAGTAGTCACATAACTATTTTGCCTTCGGAATACTTTTTGTTGTCTTTTTGGCAAGGGTGCAGATAATCAGGAAGTGCCAAATTTTTTTCCTAGCAAAAGAGTGCTGTAAGCTCCCTTTATTAACTTATAAAGTTGCTTTCTTCAGTTGCTTTCTTTTCGTAATAGAATTTTTCAATAGCTTTACTTTGTTTTGACTCAACTGGCAGCTAATTTTTTACTAACTTTACTAAACACGTGGAAAAGATTTTTAATATTTGCTACAAATTTATATCCTGCCTTTTAATTATTTTTTGTTAAAAATATTTTGTTAAATGTCAGCCATATAAGTAAATTTTATTTTACCTTTTCTTATTTTATAGTGGTTTTTCATTTAAGTTATATTTCAATGACAGTTATCACCCAGCATATTTATAAATTAGCTGATAACTGTTGAGTTATGCATTTTTTTTGCTTTAATGCTCCTAAGGATTTCATTATGAATTTTCACTTCAATATCTTTGCTGACTGCCTGATTTGTTGGTCTCCTAAATGTTTTTAATAGCAGTATACAGTCAAAAGTCTTTAATCCGGACATCCGTAATCCAGAATGATCTATAATCTGGACCTCGAAGCTAATGCGTTTACGCATGCGCATTTAATGTATAACAAACGGTATAAGCTAAGCTAAAATTATCTATCGTATTTGACGGCATATAAGAGACACCCTTATTTAGAAGGCCACACACAAGGAAAAAAAGTTTCAATAGTCCGCGCGAGAGCACGGTACCACAATAACTTAAAATGTGGTTTCTTTTAGTTCTCACGTTTCGTAAAAGCCAAATAAACAATCATTGAATGCCATTACCACATATATTTAGGAAATTAAACAAACGCAAGCTATTTTGAACATGATATGTAAATTTCAATAATGAATAAATGAATGAACGGCAAGCAATCAAACATAATACAAAATAAAGCAGAAACAACAAAAAACACAGATTCAAGGAAATGTTGCCTATCATGAAATTAGACTTTAATCACTTACAAAACCATAAAAATCCTTTTCACTATCATCATCATCGAAAACGAGTATCACCTTCTTCAAATAATGTGTCGTTTTCTGTTCCGTCAAGAGCATTACTGATTCCGCACTTCTTAAAGGACTTAACAATTACTTCAGCCTTTACGTCCTCCCAAGATCTTTTTACTTACATGCACACTTGTGAAATAGACGGCCGCTTCATTCTACCTGACGGTGTGAGGTGGCTCTCCTATCCACTTGTTCCATCGTTCTCGCACTTTTTCCTTAAATGGCTTATTCACCGATACATCTAAAGACTGTAATTGGCTAGTCAGTCCACCAGGAATGACAACTATCTGGGTTTTTAATTCTTTCACTTTATTCTTTATGGTTTCAGTTCTATGGGCGGTAAACTGATCCAAAACCAAAAAAGAGGGTTTTCTTAAGAGTCCACCAGGTCGCCTCGCCCACACGTTCTGTAACCACAGTTTCATTCCAGCTTCGTCCATCCAGCCTTTCGGATGAACATGAACAATTACACCCATTGGAAGTTTTTCTTTCGGATGAGTTTTTCTTTTGAATATGAAAAACGGCGGTAGTTTTGTGCCATCAGCACAACATGTTAGAACTACTGTGTATCTGGTTTTTCATGGTTATTGATTTAGACCCTTTAATACTCACAGTCTTGTTGGATGGTACATCAAATGTGAGTGGAATTTCATCCATATTTCTTATTTGACCGAGCTCAAAAGAAGTTTTCTTGCGTGCATTTATAACAAACCTATGAAATAATAGTATTTTTTCTTCATAATTTGCTGGCATTTTCTGTGCAATAGTTTTTGTGTGCATTGATATGCCTTGCCTTTTCATGAACCTGTAGCACCAGCTCTCAGACCCTGATAAGTTCTGATTCTCATGTTTTTCTGCAAATCCTTTGGCCTCATTGATTATCATTTTGGTTGAAACACTTATCCCAGATTTCCTCTTACCTATCACCCACATTTTTATGGCATTTTCAAGTTCAGGGCCAAGATGGAGCTGAGCATCGAAGGTTATGTTTTTTGTTTTTTAGCAGTCTTCAGTTGATCTTCCTGCAGTCTTCAAGTGCGTATCATTTTTTCAGTAGGTGGTGGACCGAAATACCTTGCTGCTGCTCTGTTTCCATGCACTTTTTCGTAGTTTAACACTCCTAGTTTATACTGAATTGTATAGCTTAATCTCTTATTTCATGTAGTCATATTTTCCAGGGTATTTTTTTAAAAAATAGTTTAGCAAACAGTTTTAAGCACAGAGTAGCACCGATACTGACACGTGTGTCGGCTTGAGAGAAGGAAAGGCTCCACAGACGTAATGTGACCGTCGAACCTGTTCGAACTTCGACATCAGCTTCGAGCTTCCGCTTCAGCGCTTTTTGTTGACAGATATTTCACGGAAGCGCAAAATAATTATGGCACATGTAGAAAAAGTTATGTGTGTCTAGACCTTTATCCGGGCTAAAAATAGCATTCCGTATTGAAAGTTAACATGTGTCCTTCACGTATAAGACACAGGTAACTTTTTTTAGACCAAATTTAGAAAAAATGTGCATCATATACGCCGTCAAATATGGTAATTATCTATTTCAGTTAATGTTGCAGATTGCGTTGTTCCTTAATCTTCTAATTGGATCCGGCTTATTATTTTTTGCAGACTGTTAGAGCAGTTTTATAAATGTAAGCTTGAACTTTTGATTATGTCAAAAAGAAATTCCGATTCTGGAGCTGCCAAAGGATCTACAAAGCGAAAGCATGTTTTGATGTTCATCAAACAAAAAGTGGAATTGCTGCAAAAAATGGATAAAATCCTTTATTTCTCTAACCATGGGCAGGGGGGGGGGAAGTCGTGGCGCGCAATGAACTGGAAGTTGATCTGTCAGCACTATCCTTATCTTCGGGGCAGATGTTTTTATTTTATTCAGCTTATAATTCCTTACTAAATGTAGTATTTCATCTGAATGTACTCCGTCTTTGATATGATTTAAATCAAATTCCTCGCATTATAAATATACGAAATACACGTCAATAGTTTTCTGGTGCAATTTTCAATTCGACTATGCATATGATGCTTTCGCATGCGCGTGTTGAAAGAATGTTTAATAACAAATAATATTAAGCTTTTTTTTTTGTAAATTTGATATCTTTAGATCATAATTGCTCTTTATTTCATAAATTATGGTTTCATACTTTTAATTTTATAATTTCTGCATGCCATCTTACCAGATTCAAACTGATGATCTATAATCCGTAAAAAGCGATAATCCGGAAACGCGAAAGTCCTGTTGAGTCCGGATTAAAGACTTTTGTCTGTATATTAATTTATTGGTACTGTTCTGTTTTGAGGAGCGTAAAAAAATTGCAGTGAAAGTGTATGCGTGAAAGAGCCAAATCTAGCGTACACGCTGATTTCAGATTGCGTAAGTTTACATAGTTCTATATTTCTTATGATGCCATTGAAATACTAGTTTAATTTTTAAATCCTTTTTTGGGAATTGCTTTAACAATTTGGGAATTGCCCATGATGAAAATTCTGCAACAGAATTTTGGGAAAAGTGCAGGACACGTTTTTAAGAATTGCACATACTCAGTATCCATGTACACAGTGACCTATTTTTCACTTTAAAAAAAATTCCCAGAATTGAAAATATTTCATTCAAATTAAACCATTCTGAGAAAACTGTCCTGTGAAAAGTATAGCATTTAATTCCATTCAGAATGAAATGTTGTTTAAAAATATGTTGTTTTCATATACTTCGGACTCTGAAGTGTTGTAGAAAGAGAAAATACATACATTTATATGTATATTTACGACGTAATTAAAAATATTTACATCCAAACGCGTCAAGTCCCATTGAACTCAATGGTAAATGACCCAATGTTTTGGTCACCACGTAGGGATCGCCGGTACTTCAGAGCAGGGTACAGGAGAAACTTGTTTAGGGCGACTCCATCTTGCTTGCTACCTCCATGGTCCCAGTAGAGTACATATGGATTTTGTATAGTTTATATTTGGTACTTAAAGTATTAGTGGCAACTACCTTGGCACAGTTTGGCAGTTTTTTACAGAAGAAAAATGTTATTCAGTGAATTTTCAGGTTGCAACTTATAATGGATATGTTTTCCTAAAGAACTGTGATGTGCATGGTTGCCAGAGTCTGATGACTTCTACTAAGCTGGGTTGCAATATTGCGTATGTACCTTATATTTAATCATAATTTTATTGAACAATTGTCCACTGGCTATAAAAATACAAGTATCAGCCATAAATACTCTTGTTTTCTTGTTTCTTTTAAAATATAGTGGCACCTGGGGATATGTCATTTATCTCTTCTAGATCCTTTGATGTACACCAAATGAACCTTTTCCAATGGAAACTAATTAATCTGTTCTTATAAAAAAATTTCATTGTTATTATTATAACACTGTTTAATATTAAAATACAAGTGCAGAAGGTGATATATATATATTGTACATCAGTGGTACCGTACCTTGTGCTAGCCGATCATTTTGTATGTGCTCGCCAGCCCGATTAGGTACTATGAAAAAAAAATATTTAAAAAATAACCATTCATTTATATTTCTTAATTTTTTAAATATGGTAAGCATTTATAGTCATAAGAGATATCTTGTAAGACGTTATAAATAATTGATTGCTGACTGATGAACTTGATAGCGAACATGGAATCTTATTACTTCATTTTGATGTTAGATGGCTCAGCAGGGAAAAAGTACTTCAGCGATTTGTAGAACTTCTTTTGCCAATAAAGCAGTTTTTGGAATCCGGAAACGAAAGTTATAAAGAATTGGATGACAATAATTGGTTATCTGATCTGTATTTTCTCACGGATATAACAGCTAAATTGAACGAACATCTCCAGGGAAAAGAAAAAGACCCTTTTCTCAATTGACTGGGTATGTAACTGCTTTTCAGGTAAAGTTAAATTTGTGGGTACTTTTAAGTTGTGCCGGCAAGGCGATAAAGTCGCCACTAGTTGGACAACTGATGCCAAATGGAATGTCCTCGCTGGTAACCTTTTATGCGTCATTTTCAAAACAAGTAGCAGCCATTCATTATCAGATTGATTGTTTCTTTCAATGCTGGCATACAGTTATATAGAATTTTACCAGATAGTTCAATTTTATGCCCTAAGGCCATTCACGGTAATTAAGTCAATTAGGATGCAATTACACCGCTCACCTGAAGGCAAAAATAAAGAAAAGGCAAAGTTAAGGTTAAATTCATCAATTCTAATGAGAATGCACTAGCGAAGTAAAGCACTGCGGTTTTACGTAATTTCTGAGTAAGCTATTCGTACAAATTGAAATAATTCTAGCATTTAAACTTGTATTCCAAATTAAAATTTAACCTGAAATTAATGTAGATAATTATCGTTAGAATTAGATTTTTGTAGCGTAGTTTATGTGGGATGAGATTACTTGGGGTCACATGATATGAACCGGTAAATCAGGATGTTAAACCATGAAACCATAGTAAAGTCTTAAATTAATGTCTTTTTACAAATTTATTCTCTTTATTGGCTTTTTACAAAACTTTACACGATTTTAAAATGTTTATGCCATCGAAATAAAAAATCCTTAAAACTAACATTTGTTAATATTTTTCATGTGTATACTCTATGTTGTCGCCAATAAAGTCTGCTTGGCGAGATTTGCGCCGGCAACACCGAAAAGTACCAATTTGTGGATAAATCAGATGAAAGAAGAAAAAAAAAAAAAAAAATCACCCATTTTCAGAATTTATCAAGCCATATTAATAACCACAAGACAATTGAAACGTAGAAATACTCGGAAAACCTAAATGCACTGAAAAATAATTTTGAACTCCGCTTCTCTGATTTCCATAAAGTTCAAAAAATATTATTATTCATCTCAAACCCATTTGCTGAAATTAATATTTCAGATGTATCACATAAGATTGGAAATATGTTTGACAAAAATGTTAATGTTTTGGAAATGTACTCGCGAGAGGCCAAAGGTTGGCCACCATTGTTGTACATAAATGAAGCACTTCACAGGATACTGTACATAAATGTTTTCCTGTTATCCAGATCAAAAGCAATTTTTCAGCATGCTATGATATCTGATTTTTGTTTTGCAATCGATTTTACTCTTTTTGCAATGCTACTTGATTTAATAGTATCTTTGCTTTTTTTACAATTGTTGACATTATTGTACTCAACATACAGTATGCAATAGCCAAGTCCAGATGCAGGTGCTACCTTCACAATTTTCAACAGTGTTTTTTACTTCCTTGTACGAAGTAAAAAAAAGAGTATTGTAATCACGAAAAGTTTCAGGCAGCATATTTCAAAGAAAATATCCATTTTGACTGCTATTGAATGCAATTTAACGATGTTTTTGTGTGACATCTGTACGTAAGGATAGAATAAAAGACTCTTTTCCTCCAAAAAAAAATTATAAAACTGCTTTAAAATGAATTCTGAAGAGAATTTTTCGTGGTGTCTGTACGTACGGACGTAAGTATCTCTCATAACTCAAAAACGAGTAGCCTCCGAACGTTGAAATTTTGTATATAGGACTGCCATAATATGTAGATATGTACCTCGTATTTTGGTTGCAATCGGCGCTGCACCAAACATATATAAATATATTTATGCATATATCCACTCTGTTACTCGGCTCAGTGATCTCAGTTTCTTTACTCTTATATGTTTGTAAATTGTGCATTTTTGCTTTAAAAATGATTGAATTATGTAGTTCTTATCTTCCGGTTAAGGTTTTTATGCCTTTGAAAAATCTGCAAGCAATATTTGTAGAATTATCAACAATTTAAAAGCTGTTTAAGTGCGGCTAAGCCTATTTTTTAAATAACATGGCGGACATGTTTGTTTACATTTGAAACTGCAGAATAGTAGATTTCTTGTGCCAGTCTAGAGAGACTAAGCTTCACAACAACAAAAATAACGCCTTCATTTATTATTGCGAATTAAATCATGCTTAATCCTTTCTTGAATATTTTCGAGGAAATAAGTGTAAGATTTACTTCACAATTTTTAATATAGATATTTTGAGTTTTTATGTACTTTTGCCTTGTCACGAAGTGAGAACTGAATTAATTGAATGAGAAATACTGAATCGTCTGTGAAAAACTGTTTCTTTTTTGTTTTGTTTGCTTAGTTTCTTTTATACATCGTTCTAGATTTATTATAGTATTTGAATAGAACATGTGACAATGATTAGATAATTCTTCAAATGATATAAATTTTGTGGATTCTGAGTTCTAATATGAACGAAATATAACGCTGTTAAGTGAACCTAGCGCCAGAGTGTCACTATGGTAAACATATATAGTGAATTTTAAAGAGTGTATTTATTCTGTTGTTGTTTTTGTGGTATCCACGAAGTAGATTTAATTGAATCCAATAAGTGTAAATGAAATGCAAGGAAAAATGCGCATAATTTAATATTCCATACAAGGAAATCATGTGGTGTACGTATAAGATTTTTTTTTTTCATCTCCATGATGATTCCAGTTTTCTTCATTGTTTGACTTCCTTCATTAACTGTAGTAAATCTCATTGTTAATGAATTAACAATCCATTTATGCAGAAAAACACAAAATCACTTAAAATTTCAGAGTTATAGTGCTAGTTGTTTACTGAATCCTGGCAACAGGCATACTGATGCTTATTGGCAGTCCAAGTCGCATTCGAAATATCCAAAACCAAACAAAAATTGTGTCCAAGCAGAGGTATTTCAAAGTAGACATGTGCCTAAATTATGCTGTGGTTTTTTTATTATTATTTTATGATAGAACAGTATCTGTGGGCCTTAAAATTAACCAAAGCATTTACTGCCAGCTCATGAAATTGCCTAGGGATGGGCATCATTTTGTAAGAATGCAAATGATCAGAAGGTACCAAAATAATATTTCTTGGAAAACAAATGAGAAGGCTTTTGCTTGATTTAAAGAGATTTATGCATTTGATATCTAATTTTTTTTTTCAGACCTTATATTTCCGTACCCCATCTACTAGACCTCAAGGTCAACTCATGGGACCAGTTGTAGGAACTCAGGTGTCATCAGCTCAGCATTTTGCTGCAAAACAAGGTATTTCATATTTTTAATTGTTTGTTTAAAACTTTATAAGCTTAATGATTATTGATAACACTAAAAATTAACTTTTTTTTTTTCAGCTTTAGTTGTGGTTTTCTGATTTCAGAAGCCTATTCCATAATTTTAAGTAACTCAAATGTAGATTTTTTTTTTTTTTTTGTTCTTTACTGTAATTAAGTTGTACTAGGTACATTGAAAGTACTGAAAATGCTTAGTGATTTGACAGAATTCTGATTTTTAAAATAGAAAAACCTACATTAGTACTTAAAAAATTTAATGCAGAACATTTCTGTTCCCCCCCTTTTTTGGGGGGGGGCATATTTTCATGGTTTTATCTACGACATAGCCATAGGCACGAGAAAAGAAACCCAAATGCACCAAAGTCTGTTGTATTGACTTTAAACAGAAAAGTACCTTTTATTCTGCAATTATTTTTTATTTGATAACTACTGTTTAGTCTAAATATCTTTGAGAATTTTATTTATGCTACTTTTTATATTTTTTATGTAAGTTATTCAGTTTTTATGAATCGGCACAGCCACCCTTGAAGTTGCCAAATTTTCCAAATGTGTCGAATTCTAAACAATCGTATGCTTAGCAGTTCTTCAATTTTAATAAGCTATGTTATCATTATCGTATTCATTTTTTTTTTGGTTACTAAAGTTTTAAGTTTAAATTTAATATCTTTGTCTTAAACTCGGTTTTAAAATATGCACTTTTGTTATTTGCCTGCAGAAGAAGAAATTGGCTGCAAAAATACAGTATTTGGCTGTAAAATCACTAAAGGAAGCAATTGCTTTAAATCTGTGGTGAAAGCAATTATTGCAGAATTTTATCCAGAATAGAAGAGACAAAAAGTTCACCTTGTATAATTAGGTTTATTGACTGATTTTACAGGATAATACTTAATTAAGGTATCTATTTTTTGAGGATATTTACTACCTTGTGCCAGTTATTCTACTTTGAGTGTTGTTTTAAGGATTACTAACGGCAAATTCAATTTGAAACAAAGAGTGAAACTCAATTTTCTTTTACTGTCAGTAATTGTAATTTCAGTGCCTTGATATTTTTCTGCATGTTCTATGAACATTGAAATTGAATTAGCTGCATTTATTTTTCTTCTAAAATGCAATATTAAAATGAAACTGCATGTAAAAGGGTGAGTACTTGTCTTCTATAGCTGCTTTTGTGACAGAAAATGAGGTTTGTGCATAAGATAGTGTCATTTTTTATCAAGTGTTTGTTACTAACCGTAAACAATAAATCAGCAACTTATTCAATATCTATGCATCACAAGTTATTTAATATGTATATATGTTTTATTACATATATATATATATATATGTTTTATTACATATATATATATATATATATATTATATGTAATAAAAAACAAATTTAGAAGTACTGATGTATAAACATTGAGGTGTAAAAACGTAACGTTAGGCGTAGAACGTAGATGGCATATTGAAGAGGAAGAATTCTGATTGTATAGAATGTTAAATCCTTAATGACTAAGACACTTGGTAGTTGAAGTGGATTAAATTCCATTTTTATTTAAATTGACATTTAAATAAAAATGGATTTATTAACATTTAAATAAAATGTTAGCCCAAACAGAAAATCAATTTTCTACAGACTTTTTCTGGTGGCCACAATTCAGCAATTGCTGTTAATAATGGCTCAAACATAAACTGTAGCTTCCTCTGTTGATAGAAGATTGGAAAAAAAAAAAAAAAAAAAGAAGAAGAAGAAGAAAGAAAGCATTATGAGTATTTTACAATAAAACATTATATTGACATAGTGCAATTACAAAACACAGATTGTTAACCGTTTGTTTCTCGCCCATGTCCAGATTGGTAACTGTTTGTTTCTCGCTCATGTACAGATCAAAAACTGTTTGTTTCTCGCCAGTGCAGAAACGGACTAAATAAATTTTCTCATGGAGGCTTCTATAAAAAACAGAACTTTATATATAATATTACCAATAATATTAATTATTTGATTCTATTTTAAACTTGATTTTTATTGTCACAACTGTTATTTTGTTGTTGATGCAATTTGTTGCTTAAATTACTGTATTTTTACTTGTCAGTGTTTATTATAAGAAGCAAAATTAATTTTTCTTTGGATTTATTTATTAAAAGTTAATTACAGTTTTATAATTATTCTTGTTTTCTGCTTATTTCTCACTTTGTATTATGCCATTAATGTGTGAAATGTGTATGTATTAATTATAAGATTAAAATAAAGCCTATTTAATAAAATCATGTGTAAGTGTGCTTCTTCTTGTTTGTGATGGAAATAATTCCCTGATTTAACAACAATCAAAATATCAGTATTTAGATCTGTGTGTTTCTGTCTAGCTATATTGTCTCTATATTTAAGCGTGTGTATGTAGAGTAATCTGTCGATTCTCATTTATGCTTCTCTGTAGCTATGCATCAGTTTTGAGTGATCCTTTGCTAGAGTTATGACAGAATAATCTAGCATAACTTGAGTTTAAAGTAAACTAGCATAACTTAAGTTTCATTTATACATCTCAGTTTGAAAAATTACTTTTAATTTCTAATACATTATTTCAGAAAGGTTCTCTTTGTTATTTTAACATTCTTAAAGATTTTATTGTTTAATATCGCTTGTCTCACTTTTTGTCCCTCGAAATTTTCCCAATTTACTAAAAGATTAATCATATTCAAGAATAGAATCTGTTAAGGAAAGCAGATAGTTTCCTTTAGTTATGAAAGTAAAAATTTGTCATTAATGAATGAGTATTAGATAATGATAAATGGAATGCTCTTTAGTGTAACGGATTAATTTTCATTGATTAAAATGTTGAAGCAGGGAAAGTTAGGGATATTAAAGAAACAATCAGTAAAATTCTGGATGATGATGATGAAGAAACAGTCCTGATTTTGTTTGTGAATTTAATGCCATGTATTAACATTTCAGTAAACTTGCAATGTGGTTTCAGTGAAAGAAAAAACTAAAACAATTATATCTTTTACATTGCTTTGTAGTTAAAGTTTTAAGAAGCTTTTAATTAATAAGTATCTTCTTGTAAATCCATTGATATTTTCTTTCTTCTGCATTTTTTCTGGATATGTAATTCAAACTGAATTTTTTTCAGATTACACTAGCTTTCTCTTTTGATTTCTCATTTAATACATAATTTTTTTGCTAGAACCTTGAATCATTTGTGTAATATACATTCCAATTATTCTTAGTTAATTTACCTCTTATTAAAGTAATATGTTTCTATAATACTTTTGCATGTACAGCTGTTTAATTTTTTTATAAAAATCAGAAATGGTTTTGAATGAGTTTAATTATGTATTTTCACTTCTCTTTTTTAGCACAAGATTTCAAGAATACTAATATTTCAAGCTGGACTGGTAAGCTATTCTCCCAGTTAGATGTTGTATTTTATTTTGCTTACTTTTATATTTTTATTTTTTATAAAATATTTATTAAGATAAAATATAATTTTATATTTTTATTTGATTTGCTTACTTTTTTGGGGGGATAGGGGAGGGCAGTTTTGCAGTTCTTTAATATTTTATGTCTTTTATAAAATTTAAGTACATATGATGAATTGCTTCAGAAATAATGGAATTTTAATAGCTTGGCAATGTGTTTGAGCTTCTTTTAGTTATACATAAACAATTTTAAAATGTATTATTTTTTTTACTATAGTTCAAATGTGTGCTTGTGCTGTAGACATCAAGACGGTATGATGTAAAAATATTTTGAAAAGTGCAGTCAAATATTGCTTAGTGATCTCCTTGTAACAAGTGATTTGCATAATGAGCAAAACAAAATGACTCCCATAAGAAGCAGTGTTTTGCAAAACAGGGGAAGTAGAGATTTTCTGATGCCATATGCAGTATCTTGCCCACATTTCAGCAATAAGCCTGTGTTGAGCACTCGTTCTGCTAGCATCTTACTATCGCTTGTGAAAGTTGTACTCAGGCATATTACTGTATATTTTTTAAGTGTAAATTTAGGCATGCTTGCTTATTTATCTCGAAAGAAAATACCACAAGACTCGAAAGAAAACACCAGTGTAAGAGGAAAACAAATTGCCATAGAAGTCAAACAGTAAATCATTAAGAGGCGAGGGCCCACCAGCGGCCGAGCGGTAAAGTCGCTGAACACTGGTAGTTCGGTCCGAGGTTCGAATCCCGCGAACGGGCTGGCTGCATGGGTGTTTTCGTGGTTTTCCCCATGTGTAACGTGTATACGAGCCAGTTTCCCTTAGAAAGTCCTCCACGAAAGGCATCCCTCCTCTTAGGCAGATAGCCCTTGTGTGCTTTGCCATAATTAAATACACCACCACACCACACCACACCATTAAGAGGCGAGAATGAGGTGTGAGCATGGCTGACCTAGCATGCTCTGATAATTGGTCTATGTCAAGGATTTGCATTATCCTTAATGAGGATACAATTAAGGGGTTGGATGCTTCAAAGGATGTTATGAGATTTCTAAGCAGCATCCACATATTTTCAATTATGTTGAAAGATTTTCTTATTGTATGAAGCAACAAGTAGCAAATACAAGGCAACCCTGTTAATGAAAACATAATTTGTGAAACGACAGAACTAATTTTTCCAACCTCATTAAGAAAGATGTCAGGATCATCAGTGCATGAAGAAGAAGCATTCAGAGTAAGCCGGGGTTGGTTCATAAAGTTTAAGAGAAGAACTGGCATTCGCAACATAGTGAGGCATGGAGAAGTAGTAAGCTCAGATATAAAGACAGTTGAGAACTTCATCAGCAAATTAAAGAAGCTTGTGAAATCTGAATGTTATCTGCCACAGTAGTTTTTTAATTGTGATGAGATGAGTCTCTTCTGAAAAAAGATGCCAAAGCAAATTTATATTACAGCAGAGGAGAAGGCATTCCATGGCCGCAAATCCATGGAAGACTGCCTCATGCTGTTGTTTTATCCAAATACAAGACGCGATTTAAAAATTAAATCTCTGTTCATTTACCTTTTGCACAACCCACAAGTCTTCAAGAAATAGAAAGTCCAGGCAAAAGGCTTAAATGTCATGTGGAGGTCCTACAACAAGGCTTTGGTGGCATGTGACCTTTCACAGATTGGATCAATTAAATGTTTGGTCTATCTGAAATAAATAAATAAATAGCTGCTTGAGATGAACTCTCCATTTCATGCCTTGCTTGTTATGGATAGTGCTTCTGCATATCCTGCAGCATATAAGGTGACTTCCTTGCAGAATTTAAATTTGTCAAGATTCCAACTACTGTTCTTCGAGTGCTGTTTTGAGGTAACTAAAGGACCTAATCCCACTTTTAGAGAGTTTTGAAAAGGCAACGTTAACATTGCTGCTTGCCTCAAAATTATCGACAGAACATGGGAGGGTCACAAAGCAAACCATTACTTCTGCAAGGAAGAAGCTTTGGCAACGAGCTTTGTTGAATGAGAATCTGAAGGGTTTGAGAAAGTGCCTGTGTAGTCTGTAATCAACAAGATTGTGCCTCTGGCCAAGGTTATGGGGCTAGATATGGATAGCAACAATACTGATGAGCTAGTTGAAGAGCATAGTCAGGAGCTGACCACTAAAGAGTTTATGGAGCTTCATTCTGTATATCACACAACAATAAGTTGTGAAAGAGATTTTGTCAGAGGAAGAGGAGGTAATAGCATTATCAAAGTAACAACCTTCCAGTGAAATAATGGAGATCCTGGAAAGCTTGGGAAACTGCTGCATTTTACATTGATGATTACCCTACTAATTTGGTAGCTGTGCATGCTACAAATTTATTTGACAATCTATTGTCAATTTATTATAAATTTGTAGCATGCACAGCTACCAATTTTGTAGACAATCTATTGTCTCATTTTTGCCAAATTTTGAAGCGTAGGCAAAGAATGTTTTAAACAACTGTCTTGTAAAGAATGGTGTATTATAAATAAAAAATTACATTATTATAAAATTTGTTTGAGTATTTTTTTTTCAGAATGGAGAACATTTATCCTAATTGACATTGATTCAGGACAAATTATGCCCATTAAGCAAGATCCCATTGTAGAATATGACTTTGCATTTCATATATGTGCTAAAAACTGCATGGCATTTAGAACATTAATGATTCACAAAGTTCAGCCTTTATTTAGTTGATCATTATAATACAGGAAAGCAGAAATCATTTGGCGCTATTCAAACCTTATCAACCTTATTTTTTGAAAGAAAATATTGAATTAGTAGTAACTGAGAGTATCAGATTTCTCAGTAATTTAGTGGAAGAACGAAATATTGTTAGAAGTCAATCATTTTTATTTATTTTATTTAACACTTTATGATCGGAGTATGAAAAGCATTCTGCATTTGAGTAAGCTGATTTAATGTATTGGGGGGGGGGGTAAGATTTCATATTTTTTTACAGAAGCATCAACTGTTGAAACTAATTTATATATATATATACTAATATGGTATATATGCTGTTTATATATATATATATATATGAAAGTTAAATATTACACTTAAAGGCTACTGAATGTCTGCTTAATCAGTAATTTATGAAGTTAGGATATCAGATCCGAAGTATCCATTATATGTAAATGATTAACTAAATTGACAGCAGCCTACTCCTAATTGTTAGGTGTTTGAATTACCTTTACATTATTTGAAAGAAAAACTTTTGAAGTACTTCAGAAAGTCAGAAACTTTTGAAGTTGTAAGGTATTTCTCCCGCCTTCCTTTTGAGGTGTTGTGGTCAGCACGCTGAGCCGGTATTTCAGAGGTCCGTGGTTCGATTCCTGGCGAAGGCGGTTGCTAATTTTCATCTTTCCTGCCTCCAAAAATATACCTAATGTCTCTACAAAGTAAAGGAAGTATTGTAATCACGAAAAATTTTGGATATCATATTTCAATGAAAGTAGTCATTTTGACCACTCTAGAGTCAATTTGAAGATTTTGTTTGTGCAACATCTGTACTTATGAATAGAATAAAGGACTCTTGTTTTCCAAAACGGATTGTAAAGTGGACTTGAGGATATTTTTTTGTGATTTCTGCACATATGTATGTATCTGCCATAATTCAAAAACAAAATAGCTGTAGAATGTTAAAATTTTATACAGTACAAAGTCCGTAATCCGGACTCATCGGAACTTTGTGATTCCGAATTACAGGTTTTTTCGAATTATAGATCATCAATTTAAATCTGGTAAGATGCCATGCCGAAATTATACAATTAAAAATAGGAAATTGTAATTTATGAAATATAGAGGAATTATGATCTAAAGGGTATCAAAATTTACAAAAAAAAAGCTTAGTATTTATTTGTTTACTTTATTAAACATTTCTTTCAATGTAAGTTGTTTAAGTTGCTTCGTTTTTTGTGCTAATACTTTCTCTTTAATTCTATAAACAGACAAAATCAAAGTTCCACTGTTCAAGTCTGCTGTGTCGAGAATACTGACCAACTTGTCAATCGAAATTTTTTCATTTTCAATAACCTGTCTGTCACTTTCTTCACTGTCGGAAGTGGTATTTTCTGGATCTAGAACCATACTACAGATATCGCCTTCCGTTGATTGATGATTGGGGCATTGTCGTCGCAATGAAAAACATTTATATCATTTTTATTTATTACCTCTTCTCCACATTTCTTTACAAAATCCAATAACTGGAAAATTTGATCTTTAGTTTGCGATGTCCGAAAACCTTCAAATTCATGACTGTCATCATCGCGGCATGGAAAGTTCAAGCTTAATTTTTATAAAATTGCTCTAACAGTCTGTAAAAAATAATAAGCCGGATCCAATTAGAAGATTAAGGAACAGCGCAATCTGCAACATTAATTGAAATGCCTTAGAATCAGTAAAAATAATTTTAGCCTAGCTTATACCGTTCGTTATACATTAAATGCGCATGCATAAAGCATATTATTTAAAAAAAAAAAAATGTGGCTTTGAGGTCTGGATTATAGATTATTCCAGATTACGGACTGTGTGCTGTATATGGGATTACTGTAACATCTAGTTATGCACCTTCCTTTTGCATTGTAATGGGCCTAACCAAACACACACACATATATATATTCCTGCTGTGTTACCTGGCTTAGCGAGTTCAGTTTTTTTTAATCTTTTTATATTGGCAAATTGTGCATTTTTTCCTTTAAAAGTGATTGAATTATGTTGTTTTTATGTTCTGATTAACGTTTTTATGCCTTTAGAATAATCTGCATACAATAGTTGTAGAATTATCAACAATTTAAAAGTGGCATTAAGTCTAAAAAGTCCGCCATTTGTTTGCATTTGAAACTCTTGTTGGAATAGTGAATTTAAATCAGTTAATACACTAACCTCAGTATCTTTTTTCGCAGTTAATTAAAAATTTTTGTGCACCGAAAAGTTTGTCTTTGCCTGATGGCCGGATAGCTTATTTTGGCATAGAAACTGTAATTTTAATTATGAACATTTTTTTAAACTGTTTTTAACTGTATTTGGTGTTTTAGGTTTTTCTGTGTTTTACAGTTTTGAACAAAGATTGAGTTTTTATGTATTTTTGCCTTGCTAGAAGGTGAGAACTGAATTGATTGAATTAGAAATGGATCTCTAATAAAATTCAAGGAAATACGTTTAAATGAAGTACAGCAAAAAATGTGTAAAGGCCGTACAAGGAAATCGTGTCGTTCACATCAGAGATTTTTTTTTTTCCCTAAGGCATTGAATTTTATTGCTGATGCTTAGAAGCTTTATATTAATTTATATTAAGGGAAGAGGGCTAATTACTGGTGTAAAGTACCAAAAACAATTGTATGTAGGAAGCAGTATTGAGTCCTGTGGAAATCTTTTTCTGATGATTAAGATTTTCAAGAATAAAGAAAAGAAACACAATAGACCAGTTGTAGAAGTAAAAAATATTGAAAATATAGGATTTTATCACTGTCTGAATGCACTCGTTAGGAGAGCAAGAAATAAAAAAAGGCAATAGGAGTGTGTGTGTGGAGAATTTTGGTGGAATACCTGGAATGTGCAAATAGTATGTGGAATTGTGCGAGTCAGTAAATGAGCTCAAATTAATGATATTACAGCTTTTCACAGTAATTGCCAAATATTCAGAAAGATGGCAACATAATTTGTAAACTGAGGCATGTAACATTCTTTTCCCAAAAATGCTAGAAATTTCTTAGTATTTCAGTTAATCTTTGAAGTAATATATTCTCTGTTAATTTAAAAGTTCTGATGAGTGTTTTTTTTCCCCTTTGCAAGCTCAGGTTTTTAAATAGCTTTCTCCTCTGCATATGTGGGTAATGATATTAGCATGTTTAGTTAAGAATTCAGTGTATTTTAATAAAAGTGCGTTGAAAAATGTTTTTCTTTCATGTGTATGTGTGTATTATCACTGCTTTTTCATTGTCTGGTGTGCTTTATTTATCTTTTGCTTTAATTGTTTATTTATGTATTTTATTTTCATGAATTTTTGAACAGAAATTCCACCTAAGTAGCAAATAAGTTTTGAGCGAGTAGAAATATTAGTTTAAAAAGTATAAAAAAGCTTCAATTATTTTTTAATTTACTTTTTCTATCTTTCAACTGAGATATTCTGTTTGAGTGGAAAAAGGTAATAATTTTGCTATAAGTTTAATTATATTGTAAATAGCAGAAGATCTAATATATCTCTTTAAAGTAATGTTAATTTTTAGGTTTAATTCAGTCTTGACAAGCATTTCTTTTTAAATTCTAGTTATTAGAATGCCAACAAGTGATATCACTCAAGCACAAAGTGGTACTACTACACCAAACTCAAGTGGCAATATTACTCCTGGGATTCTTCCATCAGCCCTTAGTGGGAGCACTAATCGACACATGATTCCTACTGCAGTACATCCTGTTATTGCTGCAGGAAGCTCAGGTCCTTCAATGGCTTCTATTATAAGAGGGTCTCATCAGGTGGCACCAGCTGGTCATGTCATTCAACCACCATTCTCATCTCATGTACCACGAGGTACTACATTCTTTCCGTTTTATTATATGGTTTCTCTTTATTTCAATTTATTTGAGAAAAGAATAATGTATATGAGTTGTCATGCATTTTAGTTTTAAATTTACTTTATATATGTCTATGTAATCAGAGCAAAGAATTGAATGTATGAAATTTTTAGATCTACAGTGTGATCTTAAAACTTTTCTAAGATGAAAGGTCTTTTCTAAGATCGTAAAACTTTTCATAACAAGTATATTGCTTAGGTTAATTATTTTAATGCCCAGACAGTATAGTGGTTAGGGCAACATACTGCAGTACAGAAGGGCTCAGGTTCGAATTTCGGAGAAGGCATTGGATGTTTGTAAATGTATATTGCTTACCCCTGGGGTGTTGTCCCTAAAAATTGGGGTGGAAGAAGAAATGCTATGTCCTTGAGGCTCTGGCAACCATTCATACATGAAATACATGGATGAATGAAATACAAAACAACAACAATAGCAACATTATTCTAGCATTTCCACATGAATAAAAATCAAATTATGAGTAGTGCCATGATGCATGCTCAAAATTTTTCATTCTACCAAAAATGTTTGGTGCATGTTGTTCTGTAGTGGAAGAATGACTTTATTAAATTAAGTCATGAAACGTGTTCTACAAGATGTGGCTATTAATTTCCAGGACTGCTCGAATAACACCAGAATGAATGATGTGAAAAATGTAACCTTTTAATATGTTTCGAAGTAATCCCCATCTGCCGTAATACACTTCTGTGCTCGGCTGTATAAGTTGTGGAAACAACTTTTAAAGTCTTCTTTCGGAAGGCTCTTCAACATCCACAAAGCGTATTCCTTTGATCACAGTTTTGAGTTTGGGAAACGAAAAGAAGTCTGCCGGGGCCAAGTCAGGAGGAGAGAGTATGGCGGATGATGCAGTTCCAAGACCTCATGCTTAGCCAAAAACCTCTTCACTGGCAACGCTAAGTGGGGGGGCGGGACATCAAGAAGAACATGACATCGACATTGAAGAGCCTTCCGAAAGAGGACTTTAAAAGTTGTTTCCACAACTTATACAGCCGAGCACAGAAGTGTATTACGGCAGATGGGGATTACTTCGAAACATTAAAAGAATCCCTTTTTTACATCATCTATTCTGCTGTTATTAGAGCAGTCCTATAAATTAATAGCCACACCTTGTAGTTATTAATGATGATCAACTGATATTTTTATTACATAATTTTAGTTGAAATTGTGTTAAAAATTGGGAATAATAGAATTATTTTTCTATATATAACTTAAAATGATAATAAAATAACATGAATATCTGTTACTTATTTGCAGATATGTAATGTCATTTGTAGAATTAAAAAAGGTATAGTGCTTTATGAAAATTAAACGCAACCTCAAATATTTTATGCAAATGTAAAATTTTTATTTGGAGGTATCGTTCTGAGAGCTTATATGTAAGATTTAAAGAATGTGCTAATTTGCCAGATTTGGGCCTTCCACTTGTATGTTTTTAATTTCACCAAATTTTTAAGAACTAGTATGTTTCTTTATTTCTTTATAATTTGACTTTTTTAAAAGTTATTTTTACAAACGAATCCTTAAACATATTCAGTAAGAATAAGAGAATTTCATATTTTTGCTATTTTACAATTAATGAGATTCCATTTGTTGCCCAAAGTAAATGATATAAAATCCAACTAGAGGTATAAATTGAGGCTCTAACAATATGTGCAGCTTCATGGAAAAAAAAAAAAAAAAAGTTAATTGTGATATGAAATAACGGATTATCTCTTTTGGCATTCAATTTCAGCTGGTACTTAACTGAAAAGTACTGTATCTTCACTAGGATTGTTCTTTTTACTTTTTTGTAAGAGCCAGATAGTTTAATTTGTAAAAGTATTAAACTTTTAAAATTAGTTAAGTTTATTTTCTCTCAAAATCAGAACATACTGCCATATTCTGTATGGTACATAATGCATAGTTTGAATTTATATTTCAAAATTGAAAAATTGTAGGTCCAGCTGCAGTTGCTAGCATAAGTGCAGCTCCAAAATCTGCTGTTGCAACGCCCATACTCAGAACCCCACACTCATCTGCTACAATGGCATTAGCTTCTTCATCTATGATGGCTCTTCATACTCCTGTCAGGGTAATTAAATTTTCTTTAATTTCTAATATTTCGGATTTTTGTCTGTACAGTTCGTTAGATGGCATCAAGTAGTAATTTTCTGTGTTAACTGATTTTGATAAATTTATGTTCAAACCAAAGTTTTATGATTATCACGTTTCTTGATAATATAGCATTGCATCTGTCCATTCATGTGTTAGTTCAATGTTTACTTTTTAGGCAAAATCCCCCACGCTTGTTGGACGAACATCTACTCCTCCTGTTGCAGCTGCATCTTCACTCCCTCAAGTAGTTGATTTGCAGAAGTAAGAGTTTTATGCATTTGCATTTAAAACTGATAATTTTTAATGGTTTATATGTGAGAAAGAAAAATTGAAGCAATAAAAAAAAGACTGGGGGCATTAAATGAATTTAACTTTTGCTAATATATTATTTTATTGTGTTAACATATATTTTTTTATCATATGTAAACAGGCTTTTATTGCGCTTTAGTTGAACAATATAATAATTTTCTTCAAAAAATTTCACAGTTCAAATGTGAATTAAATTATAATTTATAGATTTAAGTGACAGGTATAATTCCTATATTGAAATTAATATGCAATTTTTCATTTTTTAATGTGTAAAAGTATTTGATTAGAGGTTTACAATATATATTCTACTGTTCGAAAGTGAACAGTGAGGAAAAATACATGGATGATATGATTGTGATGGCTATTAAAGAAAGTGATAACATGTTGTTATGCAAAAAGCTAATTATTACCATTGTGAGGTAAATAGCCAGGGTTGCTGTTCTGAGAATTTTGACCTGCTTAGAAAAATCAAAAGCAGTTGAATGAACACAGGGTGCATAAATAATAAAAATTTATTATTATGGTTATTATTCAAAATAATTGTACTATTATTTATGAAAAATTATAACAATAATAATAACTTCTGGTATGAATTAAATTTCCATGCTATGTAGAGTTAAACTGTTAGGCTATCAGAACTCTACTTTACACTGGTAATGATCAGAAATTTTTAATTGACTGTGCTGGCAGTGGAAGCTGTTTCACTAGGTGTGCTACCAAATCTTAATACTTAACATAAAATAGAATGTAATAAATTTCTATCACCCATAAAGTTGAAATTCAGTAATAATAGGACATTTTTATTAAATAAAATTCATATCCATTCATTACATTATCTCACATTGGAAAAAATATATTATAAGCAACTATAAATATTGTTTGGACACTGGAAAATATATATACAGTCAAAAGTCGTTAATTCGGACACCCATAATCCGGAATGATCTATAATCCGGACCTCAAAGCTACAAACTTTCTGCATGCGTCACATTGACGGACCTTTACGGCTGCGAATATGCTTGTGCGCGTGCACAAAATATGTTTATGAGTGCGTGTTTAATGTATAAAGGACGGTATAAGCTAAGTTAAAATTATCTATTTCAGTTAATGTTGCAGATTGCGTTGTTCCTTAATCTTCGAATTGGATCCGGCTTATTATTTTTTGCAGACTGTTAGAGCAGTTTTGTAAAAGTAAGCTTGAACTTTCGATTATGTCAAATAGAATTTCTGATATATATTTATTAATATGTAAAGGATCTACAAAGCGAAAGTATATTTCGAAGTTCATTAAAGAAAAAGTGGAATTGCTGCAAAAAATGGATAAAGGCATATCCTTTGTTTATCTAAACTTTATCTTTAACGCTGTGGGTGTGCAATGAATTGGAAGTTGATCTGTCAGCACTATCCTTATCTTCAGGGCAGATGCCTTTATTTTATTTGGCTTATAATTCCTTACTAGATGTAGTATTTCATCTCGATGTACTCCATCTTTGATATGATTTAAATCAAATTCCTCCTCATTATAATTCGCTTCTGATAGCAAAGAAAGTGACAGAGGTTATTGAAAACGAAAAAATTTCAATTGATAAATTAGTCCGTAGACACAGCAATTATAGGACTTGAACAGCAGAACTTTGTAACTGAACAAGAAATTATGTCTGTTTATAGAATTAAAGAGAATGTATTATTACATAAAAAATGAAGCAACTTAAACAACTTACATTGAAAGAAATGTTTAATAAAGTAAACAAATAAATATTAAGCCTTTTTTTTTTTTTTTTTTTTTTTGTAAATTTTGATACCCTTTAGATCATAATTGTTCATTTAATAAATTACGGTTTCATATTTTTAATTTTATAATTTCTGCATGCCATCTTACCAGATTTAAACTGATGATCTATAATCCGGAAAAATCGATAATCCGGAATCGCCGAAGTCCCAATGAGTCCGGATTAACGACTTCTGACTGTATATTGTGATAGGTATTAACTGAAGGCTCAGGTAATGGGCACTTCTACAGGCTCCTAGGCTGGGAAAGCCACATTCTGTGTGTAGCGTCGTGTAGAGTAGCATATCTTTTCTGGCATATCATAGTAAAGTTCTTTACTGAGAGAAAAAATTCTTGTGATAAGCAATAAATGTCGTGAAAAGCAATGAATGTGATAAGCAATGGATGAGCCTTGCTATGTACATTTCTAGGAGTTAGTCGAATCATAAGCTGGAGATGTAAATGGCAATACTGTAGAAAAAAGCATAAAATTGAAGTCGCATGCTACTGCTACATCTTCCGGCGCTCAAATGAAGGTAGAATAAATTGAAGAGAAGGTCTGTGAAGAGCTGGGAGGAGCTACTGGGTCACGTGTTCCAATGGTTGACCCGGAAAGAGAGTGCATAGTCTTGCTCGTCAGGCATTGGTTGGGGCGGAGCTTAATTATAAATTTAACGAAAATTCAGAATTACAAAGTAGTTAATACTGGTAAATTTAAAATCAAAATACGTATGGAAATGAAAGGATCATGTGCTGAGATAATATATGTTGGCCTAAATAACTATTATGTGAGAGAGAAAAAGAATCTTTTGTAAAACAAGGTAGCAAGAATAAAATAAGTAGTACCAGGTATTAAATGTAGATGGCGACACTTATGCGTGTCTTAAAAAGACCTAAAAATAGTATTAAAAGTGCAATTGTACAAAGGGAAATTTAATTAAAAACATAGGAAAATGATTCTCAGATGAGAGTACAACAAGGTACAATTAAATTAAGTGCTGGAGTACTGCTCCCGGTCTTTTTTTGTTTTCATCATCAGTATAATCGTAGTTCAATCTAGGAATGGAACTATTATTAACTTTTTCAATGTTATTGAAGAATTTTTTTTTGAAATTTTTGCTATGCAAATGCTGATGCTATCAATGTTTAATTCATTATGGATGGCCTCATTTCTGAAAAACCAGGGACTCTTGGAAATTATTCTTAAAGTAATGTTCTGGCATTGCTGGATTTTAAGCATATTGGTTTTACATACATAACCCCAGATGGGACAGGTGTAAGTAACAATTGGTCGCAGCATGGATGTAAATACATGAAGTTTGTTTTGGATAGACAAAACAGTTTCATGCAATTAAGGGGTTGAGTAATGCTCTAGTACCCCAAAACTTATTCAAAATATATGTGATGTGTGGGACTAAGTGAGTTTTTGGTCTAAAATGACACTGAGATATTTAACTTGCTTGGCCCAGGGAATGCTGACATCGTACATCTTGAGGGTAATATTCAGATCAATATTTCTTTTTTTAGTGAAGTATACAGCTTCAGATTTTTTTCACATTCGTTTTTATCTTCCATTTGATCATCCAGGACTCTAGTTGCGTCTTTTAAATTTAGAAACAGCGCTCCACAGTGAATTATCATCTGTGGATAGTGCTTCTAAATGTCTGGCCGAGTCGAGTTGTGCATATTTTTTTAAAAAGAGTCCTGACTTGTTGGTTTAGTTGATTCATTAATGTTTTGTCCATGGGACATCTGAATCGCTGCCATTGCTTGCGTACTTGATTTCTGTTTCTGATCAGCTCACGGGTGGCGCTGTTCTTATATCTCTTGTCTGCTCTCATGGTTTTACTGTTTTTTAGTAAAGCATCATGGAGTTCATCAGTGAATTCTTCAATGAAAGCATCTAACTCATCCTTCGATTGTATCGGGGTGGTAGGGTACTGAGTGTTGTTAAGAGCTTTGGCATATCCTGCCCAGTTCGTAATAAGGGCTATTTTGTGTGGTGTACTGTAGGAGTCGGTAGAAATTTCCATCATCACAGGGATATGGTATGATGACAATTCTGTCAGACTTTCAACATAACTCGGGGTAAATATTTTTTAAGATGAAAAAGTCCATAATTGATGGTCTACCTATCCCACAGTGTGTTGGTTTTTCTGAGACTGCAAGATTAATATTGGCCGCTTGGGCAACGTTGTGAATAATGCGTCCATGTTGATTAATGTCCCAGCAGTTCCACTCGATGTGGTATGTGTTGAAATCTCCATCTATAATGACTCAATTGTTAATATTTAATAATGCATGCAAATCTGTCCTGACAGAATTTGTAGGTGAGTGTATAGGAAAATAGGTGGAGATAATTGTGATTGGATGTGAAGTGTTTGGCATGAGTGTAATAGCTACGGCTTCAATAGCTAAAAGCTATGGTAATGGAGTGACATAATGAGGAATGGAACGCTTAATTAAAATAAGCAGACCTCCTCTTGCGTTGCCTCTTGGAGCATATCTTATATTAACTGAAGTGAGTACCTTTTTGCATTTCATGTTTTTAATCGAAATTCTGTCTTTTCGTTAATGTATGACAAATTTTGGTGACTTTACTTTGATAAAATTGAAAATGGAGAGGACAAATTAAATCTGTATGTACAGAATTTGATCCATTAAAAGAAAAATAAATCCAGAATAAAATCTGAAAGGCTTCAGATTGTAATGTCATCCAAAAGTATTTTTTAGCATTTGTTAATGTCTCAGTTGATCAGTCTATTCTTGTACTCATTCCTGTTCACTTTGCTTTCTTTTACTATTCTATTTTTCCATATAATTAAAAATAAATATTTTTCTTTGGTTGCTTTCCAGTCACAGTAACTTTAAGTAAACTCTGGCAGTATTACTCCAAATCATACTTGATCAGGCCCTCAGGGGCTCACTTTTGTGAGTACGGGTGTGGCAATCCCGAGGTACCCTAGCCCTTCAGGGGATCATCTTCTTGGTGAGACGGGTGTCACGATCCTGGAGCCCCAGTGATTTATCCTCTTTTCCGTCTCCTCTCCTCTTGGCTGGATCTTTTTCCCTTCCCTTCTCCCTTGTGGTTTCTCTCTACGGAGTTTGGGGCTTGTCACGAGAGACTGGAACAGACCTTGTCTCTAGTTCTCGAGTGGCGAGAAAACTGCCCACGTGTTTGCCG